AAATAATTATTATCTTTATAAAAAAATTATATTATTAAACCAAATATAAATTACTTTGTTATTGTACATAAATTAAATTATAAAAAAATTGAATTAAAAATTTACACAAAAAAATGAGGAATTTCAAATAGTTAATTTGATACTAATATCGATATATTTTTGTCAAAATTTTATGATATCTTTAAACATATATTTTATTAAAAAATAAAAACATCATCGCTTTTTTAAAATCACATAAAGTCATATTATAACATCGACTGAGATAAAGAATAAAATGAAATATTAAAATCACGATGTATCTCGCTGCATTGCGCGAGTACGCTTCTAGTATATTATAAAGCATTTGATAAAAACTCTTAAAACCCACTTTTTATATATTAAGTATTGTTTATTAATGTATGTTACTTAAAACTCAAGATTACAAGTAGATTGTGCATTAGTACAACTTATTAAAGCTCCATATCTGAATTCGTGTAACTAACTGCAGATAAACATAATCAAATACATGATAAACATCTCATTTTAAATATAAAAAATCTAAAATATAATCAAGATAATCATTTAGTTCTAACCAAATAATTAATTATTATCTTTATAAAATGTTATATTATTAAACCAAAAATAAATTATTTCATTATTAAACTTAAATAAAAGAAATAAATTTTAAAAAATTACATAAAAAATGATAACCTTTAAATAGTTGATTTGATATTAACATTGATATTTTTTTTTTCAAAATTTTATGATATCTTCAAATTTATATTTTATTCAAAAATAAAAACATTATTGTTTTCTTAAAAACACATCAAATCGTATTATAACATCGATAGAGACAAAAAAAATAATATAAAACATTAAAATCGAGATGTATCTCGTTACATTATACAAGGATTAAAATGGGCTAATTTGAAAGGTAAACCCATCTGGGCTCATTAGCCCATTCTTATCCATTGTTATCAACGACTTGGTAGTTGGTACTGCCTTCAACTACACACCAATGGCACTTGTAACCAACCCATTCCCCTTTCCGTACGTATTTCCCTTTTCTGTTTCAGCTGTTAACATTTTAGCTTCTTAGGGGCCGTTTATCAAACGCTTACCTGGGTAAGCATTTACTAAGTCACAATACTTTATTGGATGATTATGATAAGGACCAAGAATCTTACCCTGTAAGAGCAAAAACAAGGACCGAGAGTCTTACCCGGTAAGTAAAGGTGACGACTCTTATTCGGTTAGCGCTTACCGGATAGATTTTTACATACAATTCATTTTTCATTATCAATCGTTTGATACAGCTTATCCATATTTTTTAAATCTTTAAGTATATATCATATGGAAAAATAGAAATTAACTTAGAAAAAATTATGATCCATGTTATAACAATGATAAACTCTTCTTAAAACAACTTTTCATTTAGGGAAAAGTATAAAAAAAATCCAATGACTTTAGTGTTTTGAATGATTAAGTTATTGAACAATTTTTTGGAATAAATAAGTTATCGTACATTCCAAAACCTGTTAAATAACTCTCTGAACTTTCTAAAACCTACTAGATACATTCTTAAGAGTTATAAAACTGATTAATATGGTAAAATAATGAAAAAAACTTGAAAAAAAGTCAATGAACTTTCATATTTTGAGGGATTAAGTCCCTAAACATTTTTTGAACAAAAAAAGTACTTATATTTACAAAAAATATTGATAAAATTTATTTTAATAAAAAATAAAAAATATTATGTTAGTGATTTTTGAAATAAAAAAATATTTAAAAAAAATTACTGATTATATTTATTTTTAGTTAAAAGTAAAATATATTCCGTATATGATTTCTCAAATTAAAAAAATAAAAAAGATTTTAAAATGATTATTGAAGGTAATACCAACTACCAAAGAAAATAAACATTCATATTTTGAACGATTAAATCTCTAAATATTTTTTGAATTAAAAAAATACTTAGTTCTATAAAATAAAATAAATATACCAAAAAAAAAACTTACATTTATAAAAAAAAAACTTACATTTAAAAAGGATTTATCATAAATTCTTTTTGAATGTAAGTATTTTTTTTTTTTTGTAAATGTAAGTACTGATAAATCCCTTTTGAATGTAAGTATTTTTTTTTGTAAATGTAAGTACTTTTTTGGTATATTTATTTTATTTTATAGATCTAAGTACTTTTTTGGTTCAAAAAATATTTATGGACTTAATCGTTCAAAATATGAATGTCCATTGTCTTTTTTTTCCAGACTTTTTTCATTATTTTACCATTTTAACCAGTTGTATAAGTCATAAGAATGTATCTAACAAGTTTTAAAAAGTCCAAAAAATCATTTAACATATTTTAAAATGTTCAAGAATTTATTTGTTCTAAAAATTTATTTAGAGACTTAATCATTTCAAATATTAAACTCTATTTTTTAGACTTTTTCATTTTATTTACCACTGTAATCATTCTCATTTCCATTCGAGAAACCGTCTCTGAGTAACAACGAAACGGTTTTCTTTTTGGTATTTGAAACTTGTTGCGTACTTTTCTTCGTTACACGAGAATAAAAGCAGCGGTTAAACTTCAGAGCGTTTTAATTTGAGAGCTCGTTTTTCAGTTTCAAAGTTCGCCGATCACCGGCCGACGAAGCTATAACGTCCCATTGCATTTCTAAAATCATGTAACCGTTTTTGTACCGGCGATACAAGCTTCAATTTCTTCGTAAGTTATACCATTTAATTCCTAGTTTTCCATCATTTAAAGAAATTCTTACGCCCTAATTCTCTACTTCACTCCGATGTATTGATGATTTTGTTAAGTTTTGTGCAAATTATATCTTGTTTTGCATATTTCATAATTTGATTCTCCAGTGTTAGGGTTTCTGTTTCTGTTACGGTTACGTTTGTTGTTTATTGATTTTTGTTGGGACTTATTATTATGGCACTTCTTTTTAATGTTTGGACCTAGGTTTCGTTGGAATGCGGCTATGGTGATTTTGGTGATGAAGGGAACTATGTAGAAACGTTGGAGTGATGAAAAAAATGGCTCCTGGAACAGATTTAGCTAAGGAATTGGAGAGTTGCAGAAAAATATGCCTTGAATTGGAAGAGAAGAGCAAAAAGGATGAAATGAGGTGTTTGATGTTGGAAATTGAGGTTGGAGAGTTGAAGAAAAAGAACAAGGAACTCGAGGGGGAGATCACAAGGATTCAGAAGGTTGTGAGCAATGGAGAGAAGGGGAAAGGGGTGATAGTCGATTTGACGGATGAGGAAAACGAAGGAGATAAGTTTGTTCAGTTGTTGATCGAAAACAAGGTTCTGGAATGTGAGAAAACAAGTGCTGAAATCGAGATTCGATCTTGGAAGGAGAAGGTTAAGGAATTGGTTTCACGAGTGTGTGAATTGGAATTGAAGGCAAACATGAAGGGCATGAATGAATCCTCCAAGGGGATTGATGCCGGAATGGTAACGGTGACTGGGAACACACAAGTGGACACAAATAGCAATTTGATGAGCAAAGAGAGAATTAAAGAGGACATTAGTGTGGTCTCAACTCACAAAAGTACTGTTGAAAGAGGAGGTAAGGGTTGTATCCAAGTTAGAAAGCGGTTGTCATTTGAGGAAGACGGATTCCCCAATAAGACGATGGCTCCATCTACTCCAGGTGTTGCTCAACTTCCCTTTTCTGGTGTTATCGATATCAGTGATGAGGATTTAAACTGTAATGAAATTCCAAAAGTCAAGAAGCTTTTTGATCCAATCAACTATGGTTCTAAAAGTCCTTTTTCTTCTAAGAATGACCCTGAGACGACTAATCTAGGACATATTGATGAAGATGATATGGATGGCTTTGAAGGGTATTCTCGAACTGCTGCAAGTGCTAAAAGAAAAAGAACTTCCAATACCATTGCCAGCGATGATGATGAAGATATGGATGGTTTTGTTGGTCATTCTTCGAAAACTCCAAGTGCTAAAAGAAAAAGGGCTGCTAGGGTTATATCAAGTGATGATGAGACCAGTTATGACGATAACGCCCCAATTTGCACGCTCATCAAGCAACACAGTTCTAGGTTAAACACTGATTCTGAGGATGAAGTTAAAGAAGGGGTAGGTAAGCGGCACCTGAAGAGGTTGAGAAAACCAGGATTTAGAGACAGACAAGATAGAAGCACTCTTGACCTTAATAGAACTATTTGTCTTCATGGAAATAGTTCAAGTGAGGATGAGGAAGACAATGATGGTGTAGAGGAAGGGTCGGAGAGTGAAGATGATAGTTTGGGTGGATTTATCGTGGACAGTTCTGAAAGTTGTTCTGAGATTGCTCCTGTAAGTGATGATAGCTGTGATGAATCCAAAGATGCATTAAGTGATTTCAAATTAACTTTAGACAAGATTGGTAGAAAAAAAGTTTTGAATCTAAAGTGGGATCTAGAGGGAGATATGTTAGCTGATTTTGGCAAGGATCCTGAATTGTGTATGAGGGCCGTGTGTGCTCTTTATAGGCAACAGACAGCGGATGAGAAAGCATCAAAAGAAACTATATACCAGAATGAGCGTGGGTTTAGCCAGTGTGATGCATCCAGGTGAGCTTTTTTATCTCCCCGTGCATATTGTTATTCTATGTTGCTACAAGACTAAGGGCTACATTTAGTAAAATTCTAATGCTTCAAGATTAGATAGAACATGATTTAGGTCCATTTATGTTATTTTTAACGTTTTCAATTTGTGAGGCATATTTATGCAAAAACACCATTTTGCTTGTTTGGAATTTCCAACCAGCAAGCAAAAAGAAATGCAAAATGCTGGAGATGGGAGAGTAACAGGGCATATATGCCATGTGGTTGGAGTTTTAATTTTATTTTGGTGTTTTCTTGTGTCATGGTGGGAGATGGTCTAAGAATGTGATCATGACAGACAGAAAAGCATGGCCAACCAGAAATGTAGTACTTGAAAGTCGAAACTAGTGATTTAATGGTGTTGAAACGTGTATTTGTAGGGCTAGTAAGGTGGCAGAGTTTCTGATAGATGGTGACGCTGGCGGTGATATGAGCAAAACAGTGGAAGAACTGAAACGATATGACTCGAAGGGGATCAAACTATGTATGGCACTTGCAGCTAAATACTCAAAGCAGTTATTCGAGATTTACCAGAACAAAGAAGATCCATATTTCGTGCCAAAGTGCCATGGTATGTGAGTCTGTTTCATTTCCTTGTTTGTTTAAGTAAATATTGTCTTAATTAATGAATGATGTGCAGACCAAGGTAGCATGTAGTGGTAGTCTGGATAGATAATGTGTTTTTGCTTTAGAGCAGATGGAATGTGAATATTTCATATGTAAATTGCATTTTAGATGTGAAGTTGGTATCTCTATCTCTGCACAAGTCCTTGTATTGCTATATGCGTAGATTCAAGATCATGGGATATATTGCAAATGTTGATTCATTTGTCGATTTTGTGGGACGATATATATTCGCATCTGGAAAACGTACCAACCCAACCCAACCCAACCCGATATGAATCATATGATCATCTCAGATGATGGATTCAAGATCTAAAGATGATGAAGCTGAAGTTATAACGATGGTGTTGGTGTTGGTGTTGGTGTTGGTGTTGTAAAGATCTTTATTGCGTCTGAAGCATAAAAGGAACAATGCAAACAAAATAGGTTTCACAAGTCATTAGTTGGTTAACATAATATATATATATATATATATATATATATATATATTATGTTATTAAATTTTTATTTTAAAATGTGAAAAATCACTAAAAATGCAATAATTTCAGGTATAGAAACCTAAAACATTTAAATCAAATTATAATTTTTTATTTGAAGCCATATCAATATATTTGTATTTTTTTTTAATTAACAAACCCTGTGCAATCACCCTTTTACAATTTAGGGGATGTTTGGGATTGTTTATTTGAAACGACTTATGTTTTTTCTACAGAAACACTTATCAACTTATTATAAATCAAAAATCTTCCGTTCAGTAGAATTCCGAAGAAAGATTGTTGGCAGCCAGCAGGTGGAGACATTTCTTTGGCCCCTTAAAAAAAAAAGAAAAAAAAGAAATGCGGGCAGGGTGGAGCTCGGCAGAGGGTTTGAGAATAGGGTAGGGTCCTGTTCTTAAGATTCAGATAAGAAAAAAGTTCCAAACCTTTATGCATGCACCCCCGTACAAGTGCTGCGTACAAGTTCCGGCCAGGATGATTGGGAAAGATCAAACCAATTTGAACCRCTCACATCACAGTAGTAGTAGCGTAAAGGCCGTAAGCCGGGGGGCGGCCATAACATAAGGCTATTACTTTCACACCTCTCTCTCTTTATCTATAGATATCTAAAAAGAGAGAGATCCGCTGCGTGAGCAACCCGACTGTGCGTTACATGTGCTCTACAGGCTGCACTCCATCTTTATTCCCCCTTTTTTCTTTTGATTTGGAAGACGGGCGTTGCGTTTGGTTCGAAAGGCATGGTTTTCAGTATGTCTCCRGATAGGCCCCCCACTAGTCCGGCTAGCTAGTGAGTGGTTCTTTCGGGCGGGAAGCAGGYCGGGCCCTACGAGCGGGCATCTCCCGCAACGCAAGCAGCATTGTTCGCCACCACCCGRGAAGCAAAAGATTATAGAGTCCAGGCTGAAAATACATGCATAGATAGTGGTCTAATGACAAGGCCGACGACGGAAGCTCGGGACGGAGCCGTATGATGCGGAAGTCTCACGTACGGTTCCCTGAGAAGGGAGTGGCTACCTACTGGAGCTTCGACCAATCACCACCGGTCAATTCCGCTTTGGGGCCACCCCTTACTCTACCATTATTATAGGGSTATGGGGTTCGAGACAAAGAAAGATCAAGGCAGCATATCAGCTTTTCACTTTTTTAAGAACTCTTTATTACCGGATTGACATCGGTATAAGTTGTTTATCTAAATGCTCAAAAGTGTTTATTATTGGTGTCATACCGAAATAAGTCGATAAGTTATTTTTATAAACAATTTTAAACACCCCCTTGTATTTTGCTTGTTCCAATATAAATTCAAGTTTTCTTTTATTAACAAGTTCTAAACTTTTAATAATTTTTCGATTTTAGTTTTACAAAAATAATTTTATATATGTGGCAAAATCATTTTGGATCAATAATTTGAATCCCATTTCTTTGGTCAAGAGTTCCAATTAGGGTGTTCCCGTAAATATAATTATATAAATATAAATAACATTGATAAATTATAAAATGATATTTCATTACTTAAGTGATCAATCAAGACTATTTTGCATCGAAGTAAATGTGTATCAACTATACTGATTAAATTGATATCAACTTAATTCCGTATTATTTACAATTTGTTTATAATTACATACCCAAGTATGTAAACTTGGTTGATACACGATATTGGAAGTCATATATCAGGGTAGTATTGTGGTACCGACTTATTTAATTATTTATTAGTTTTTAAATCTTTTATATATAGAATATTAAAGTTGGTAGTTGGTCGAACATTTGAATACTTGCAAGTTTCATCTCTTTCAATTAAAAACCCATATACATCATATTTATTACCTCAAAACTCAAAATTTGAACAAAATGATAAGTTTTCATATATATAATTTAAAGTTGGTACAAAATCAATACGAATATGAATCAATCGAAAAAATTAATACCATATATAATTGATTGGTACATGGTATAAAATTATACATACCGATTATAATTAATCGGTACAACTTGCTACCATACATACCAAATTCAATTCACCCATGATAATATTATTTTGGATAACGGAGACAATAACAATCAAATTGATTGTATTCGACGCTTATAACAAGAATCAGAGTGGCGCAGCGGAAGCGTGGTGGGCCCATAACCCACAGGTCCCAGGATCGAAACCTGGCTCTGATATGATATTCAGTGTGGCTTCCGTTCCTTTTTATTTTTCTTAGAAAACAATTTTTTATGTTATTTTCTATAAAATTAATCATTTAAACCTTATAACTTAAAGATAAAATGCTTTCAGAGTCTTAAAAATATCAATTCTATTAAAAGATTTTCATTATTTTAACCATAAATTACAACAAAGATATGCTAACAAATAAGTAGTCATTCTCATTCGATTAACGACATAAAAAAAGTCACAAAATCCGCAACCAATCTTCAACTTGTAAGGTTCGGGTTCGGGTTCAAGGCCCTCCAAGTATAGCATTCTCGATATCTTCTCGGCTTAATGCATAGCTGAATCTCCTCTCGACATCTTTATCCAGATTTCCCGGACCGCTCTTTACATACCTGCATTTCCATCAAAATTATCACCTTAAAAATTCACAAAATCTTATCATCCATTCATTATCGTTTCCAAGATTCTTATATCTTGTAATTCTCAAACCAAACCAAACCAAACGAACTTGCTGAAGAACAGAATTGGGTCCGAGAGTAGAGAAGCTGTTTTCATGAAAACACACACATACCATGAAGTTTTAGATTGGTTAAGTGGTAAAAATCAGAATCTATATCTAACATTAAATGATCAACAGATTTCAGAAGTTGCCCCATGTAGGGATGGTTTCCATTGATACAACTAAGGTTGCTTGTCTAGATTCACAAATCTGTATCTAAACTCGAGATGGAAGAAGCTCATAGCCATAAAAACCGATATTCTAGCTATGATACAAGTATCATTTACCTCTTCACAACAAAATTCAAAGCCCCAAGTCACACTGGTATCCGTTTTTGAGCCATCTAATAATACTAAAAGTCAGAGCCAGAAGTGATACTTGGAGGCACACACTTGCCATGAATCGCACATTGTAAGCCACAGGAAGATGAATAATGCATAAACTCTAGATGGATTCCCAAATACAGATCATGAATCTATGACCATGGAGAATTTCCGCCAAAACTGATTAGGAACCCGAGAACCACCCAATATTCATCATGAATCATACATTCATGACGAATATATCCCAACATTCATGTGGAATAACATGTCCATATTCCTAATGAATATGTCTTGTGCCGTGCTGTGGGCTGTCCAGTTCATAATCAATTTTAGGGTTCTAACTGAACCTGCTGCCACTCTGTGACTAATCAATTTCCAGTGGCTAAACAACATAATAACAACCCAGGGAACTTACTAAAGTTCAAATCTTGGATCATATGAACATCAAGAACACCAAATAAATCGACATCACTAAATACCCAATTGGGATTCATACTCACCTAGTTTATGAAAGCTACTAGTTAAAGCAATACATATCAATGATGCAATTGAAGGGTGTAAATTAGAAAGTTGCAAACAAACTTCAATCAAAAATCTTTAATTCATCGAACGAACATCAAGAAACCAGAAGAATGATGCATTATCTGCTGTTAACAAGCTTAATTAACCCTAGAAAAAAGGACCCATAAGCGGTTCAATGCTCATGAAACAGCAAAATTGATGTTAATCAAGAAAGAAACCTGATATAAAGATCTGTGACATCAAGAGAGAGCTTTGCATGCCAATCGGGTTTCTCGATAAACCAAACAGCTCTATCATCATTGCTCTGGAAAAACCCTAATTGCTTCAACCATGCCTCGACACAAGGCAAGCTGTGTGAGTATAATGGCTTCTTCTTGTCGGGCAAATTCTTGAGCCACTCGTCTTCATCGGTGGAGACCTCTGTTTCTTCAGACGCCGATTTTGACAAAATTAGGGTTCTTCTGTTTCTTCTTGTTCCTCTGGGTGTTGAGAATTTTGAACAAGGATACGAAATTCGGGAGCATGAATTGATAGAACTTGCAGAAAATAAAGAAGTTGGATAGAAATTTCTTGTGTTGAATCTTGTAGAACAACAAGAAGAGATCGAGGGAACCTTTAAAATGCCCATTTTCCCCCCAAGAAGTATCAAAAAAACGATTGTCTTCAATGGAGGTTTACAGATAACGATGACGAAAGAAGGAAGACGGACCAGTGAACGACGTCGTGGTGTGGTTAGGGCTTGAGGATAAGGGGTTCTGTTGGCTGACTGCATATACTGCTGGGAAAAGGTGCAAGTCCTAAAAACATGTGTTTAAAATTATAAAGTTGATGATAAATTGCATTTAAATTGAAAATATTTTTATTCAAACCACAAGGGTGGTATTTGATTGGTTTGAGCTTGACTCTAAATGGTAAAAATATCAGGAGGTCTCAAGTTCAAATTCAAAGAGGAATAAAAATCCCTTTATGGCCACGGAGGTTCAAATGCAATGACTTCGAACTATCTGTAAAGCAGGTGGTTGCCCTGAGATTAATCAGCTCGCATAATAAATTGGACATCCAGGTTAATAATTTTTTTTTTTTTAATTCCATTCTTGTTTTTATTTTAAAATATTATAAATCAAAAACCTCATTTTTTAGTCCTTTGACCATCACAAACAAACAATCCGACCAACCCAAGTAATCTTCCATAACATTAATCATTATTGTAAAAGGCCCAAAATATCATAAAAAACGGAAAGTCTAAAAAACTTAATAGACTTTAGTGTTTTGAATGATTAAGTCTCTGGACAATTTTTTGGAACAAATAAGTAATTCGACATTCCAAAACATGTTAAATGACTCATTAGACTTTCTAAAACCTGTTAGATACATTCTTATGACCTATAAAACTGGTTTAATGTGCATCCATACCTGCACCTTCTTATAAATAACAAAACTTAAACGAAGCATCGAACCATACATGTACCTGTTTATCTATCTAGCATTTAACAAATAAATAACAACTTCATACTGAATACCAAACATCATCATCTAGAGTTAGCACTAGACATCTACGGTCTACCATTTTACCAACTACCAAACCGCATCGTCTCTTCATAATCATCTCATCAATGATCATCTCTATGAGGAAATGAAAGCAAAACAAAGAAAGTGGAAACCTAAACCGAACCTGTTTTCTGAAATCGAGCTCCAAATCGGACTACTAGGACTTGGCTTTTGCTGTTTTGAATGAAATCGAGCTCCAAAATCAAAGAAAGCGAACTTGTTACGTAAGAAATCAAAGAAATTTGATTGAGTGAAAAATAAAAGAAATAACAAGTGAAGAACATAACCACATAGGTCGAATGTTTTCTGAAAATCAAGCTCCAAAATTGTGCCTTTGGTTGGTTCGATCGATTCAATCCTTGTAAAAATCGAACGACGTTGGGCGTTGTTGTTTCTGTGTTTCCCTACGACTTTGGTTCGTGTACAAACCCATAGAGAGCGATTGCTCTATTGCTGGTAACAACGAGGGGAGAGGGGCGAGCGTGAGACGGTACCTCGTTTCAACCACACAGCGGCAACAGTGATGGGGTTGGGCTGAAGGTGTTAGCGACCGCTGCAGGAGGAGAGGCAACGACGAGGGGGAGAGGGGCGACCGTGGGACTAAAGTGAGGATGAACACGTTAGTTTTAGGGGGAGGGGGTTTAATTTGTAAATTTACCTGATATCTAGGTTACAGGTTCACAAATTTTAGTGATAAAGATGTATCTGACAGGTTTTAGAAAGTCCAACGAGTTATTTACAGGTTTTGAAATGTCTAAGAACTTATTCATTCCAAAAAATTGTCCAAAAACTTAATTATTTCAAACAATAAAGTTCAATGTTTTTTTATTTTTACCTATATTTTAATACATAAGATATGATATAGTTTATCTCTCTACTTTTGGATTTGGAGATTTTTTTTTCTATGTCTCTAGAGTTTATCATACTATTTAAACAAAATTTTCTTACATTTTGAAAAAATTAAAATAATTTATGATTGTTGTTTTTGATTGATATATTCTAACCTTTTGGTGTGCTTCAATTAGTGAGATGCAATAATATCTCGTTAACATTTAATTTGATAAATGTTCATCTTTTTTATCAGTCTTAAGTTCATCAACGTTATTTAACATGAATCTTTATTTTCTTCATCAATAAAATCAAGAACAAACCTTGAAACAAAATCCTTAGTACTAAACATACAACCTAAATCAATTAAAAGAAACTTCTGAATCAAATAACGTGCCTCACGTTTACCATAATTGTAACATGACATCAAACACAAATCTTGTGTCACGACATACCATGACAAACCTTTTAAAAACAAGTATTCAAGCCATTAAGCCAGTGTTCAAAAAAGCTTGTTGCAATAGCCATTATGGTGTGCAGTGACTTGAGTTTTGTGTTCCACGTCGCGTTAGGCTTGTGTGACACACCATTACCCAATGCACAGTTTTTATAATACAATATTTGATTTTTCTATTTTTTTTCTAATGTCTTATATATATATATATATATATAGGGTTTATTTCAAATACAACCTATCGCATTTGTACAACCAATGCAACCCAATAAATTAAAATATTTATGGAAATGATTAAAGTTCATTTATTATGATTTAAATATTTATGGAATATGAATACGGTTCATTAATTATGATTAATACTTTATATTAGAAAATAATCAAAACCTCTATAAAATCACATATTAATCAAATGAAATGGACGGTTGAGATTGGGTTGTATTGGTTGCACAAATGACAAGGGTTGTATAATAACCAACCTCTATATATATATATATATATATATATATATAGGGGCTCATTCAAGGAAGAACTGATTAGTTTGTGGTAATCTTGAGATCCAATCTCAACCACAAATCAATTATAAATTAAGAAATTTTTAATTTTGATAATTTTTAATTAAAATTTTAATGCAAGGACATTTTAGGTATTTTCTCTCCTCTCTCCGTCCCCGTTCTCCGGTGATACCACAGTGTGATACCCAAGCACATATAAGATGCATTGTGATATCACTGTGTTACATATCCGATCGACCACACAAAGGAACTCAGTGTGATACCCAAACACATATAAGATGCATTGTGATACCATTGTGGTATCATAATAGGACGGTGGCCGGAAGACGGGGATGGAGAGAGAAGAGAGGAGAGAGGAGATAGAAAAGAAAAGAGAAAATACCTAAAATGTTCTTACATTAAAATTTTAATTAAAAATTACCAAAATTATAAATTTTCTAATTTATCTATTAATTTGTTGTTGAGATTGGTTCTCACGGTTATCACAAACTAATTAGTTCTCATTTGATTAGATCCATATATATATATATATATATATATATATATATATATATCATTTTCTAATGTATAACCCAATTTGAATTATTTAATATAATTGATTCATCGAGTAATAGTAAATATATATACATATATATATATATATATATATTGTGCAACCAATACAACCAAATCTCAACCGTTCATTTCATTTGATGAATATGTGATTTCATAGAGTTTTGATTGTTTCCTAATATAAAGTATTAATCATAATTAATGAACTTTATTCATATTCCATAAATATTCAAATCATAATAAATGAACTCTCTTTATTTCTATAAATATCTCAATTAATTGGGTTGCAAGGGTTGTACAAATATACAAGGTTGTAAAAGAAATATACCCTATATATATATATATATATTTGTATGTATAATAATTCATATGACATAAAAATTCGTTGTGACTTGTGAGACATGAGACTTGATCCGTCTTCGCACTAGACTTTAGGACCTTACATTATATATATATATATATATATATATATATATATATATTTGTATGTATAATAATTCATATGACATAAAAATTCGTTGTGACTCGTGAGACATGAGACTTGATCCGTCTTCGCACTAGACTTTAGGACCTTACATTAAACCAAGTAAACACGACCTTAAATGGTTCTAAAGGGGTGTTTGAGATTGCTTATTTGAAACTATTTATGATTTTCTATAAAAACACTTATCATAAGTCAGAAGAGTTTAACTTCTTTAAAAACTCCTTATTACCGGTTTGACACCGGTATAAATTGTTTATCCAAACACTCAAAAATGCTTATTACTGATACCATACCGAAATAAGTCAATAAATTATTTTTGTAAATAATTTAAAACACCGTATAAAACCACACACCTTAAAATGAAACAACAAAAAAAACGTGTCAATAATTGGTGACTTTCGTAATTAAACAACAAAAGGGGAAATTTATGATTGCGTGAAGCACATGCTCACTTTCTTCCTTCTTCCCCATTTACCAATTACCACCATTCTTACCGGTAGGTCAACTCAGATCATCAACTGCACCAGATAGAGATGGCAACAGCAGCAGCAGGGACTTCATCTTCAATGGCGCAAGCTATGTTTGCATCTCGATCATTCACGCCGTCCTTCTCTCGTCGCTCTTCTTTGCCTCGTCTTCCTTTTCTACCTCCTTCAGCTTCTTCTCCGTTACCACCTTCTTTTAACCTCCGAATCTCAGGTAAAACAATCTATCTTACACAATCACCGAGTTATTCAAGATTATGAGTAATTTTTATGTGTTTCAATTTGTCAAGTTTGCTTTGATTGTATGTTTTGTTGCCCTAAACTTGTTAATGCCTCTTGTTCTTCTGAATAATCCCAAATTACTCCTTCCTCTGTGGTCTCGTTTATATCAAAGGATACATGTAGCTGCAAAGTTTAATCTGGTTTACAAAATGGCTAATAAATGTAGAACTGGAGGGTATACATACATGATCATAGTAATTAAACTTGACTTAGGACCAAGGGTTGATGTTAATTGGGCTTTCTCAATTCCGACATTTTTTGACATTGTAGATCAGAGTACAAATTCATAGGATTTGTGTGTGTTTTCGAATCTGTCTGTAATTTTTCGTTTGGCCTAGAGATGATAAGAGTGATTGTTTGTTTTAGCCCTAGGTTCCATCATCCATGTTTTTGTGAATAAAGATTCATAGTGATTGAAACTCGTGTGGGTGGGATAAAATCTTGCAACTACAAGACTCATCTCTTCCTACTTGTGCTATTTTCTGGCCATTGGATTGTTAAATTTGGTCTGTATAAGATACTGTGGTGACTTGTATATCTGATATTCATAACACCTCCCTGAATCAGGATCAAAGAAGTCGTTATCATATCGGATTAAGGCGTCCTCAGAAGATTCATCTGAAACTTCAGAAGTTGGAGAGGTATTCTCCAACTTAAAGGAAAAGGTGAGCCACTATGTATTCTTCTTTGTACCAAAACAGACATAAAACCTCTGGCTGTAGTAATATTGTATGATTCATGTTGTTGTTGCAACTCAATGAAAGGGATCTGGGTTTCCAAGAACAATCAGCTAATTCTCCAAGATTAAGATTTAAGAACGATCTAATGTTATTTAGTTACATGTTACACTCTTTTACATGTTCACCTTTTAACAGTGGGATGCACTTGAAAACAAACCCATGGCTGTTGTCTATGGAGGAGGAGCAGCTGTTGGTGTTTGGCTGTCTTCCACTGTTGTTAATGCAATCAACTCGGTTCCTGTTGTAAGTGATATATTATATCAGCCTTCGTGTCAATAAGCCGTTCAACTCTTGTACTAGAATTTCTTTATCTGAACAAAATATTTGAGTTCTCTGAAAATTTATCGACCAAATGCTATGTCTGTATCTTCTTTTCCAAGCAGGTCCCAAAGTTCATGGAACTGATTGGACTCGGATACACTGGATGGTTCATCTATAGGTATCTTCTCTTTAAGGTAAACATCTATCTTTGACATGGGTTTAACTTTTTCCGTTTCTTGCAAACTACTGAAACAAATAAGGTTAAGCATGAGATAGGTGCACCATGGCTCGGCTCCTCAGTTTCACAAGGGTTTGGTTGGGAAATGTTTATTTAAAGTATTTCTCCACCCCCCGGAAAAGAAAAACTAAGAAACACTTTTTTAACCACAAGGGTGGTGCCTGATTGGTTTGAGCTTGGCTCCAAAGGTCAAAAGTGCCCGGAGGTCCCAGGTTCAAATCCAAGGAGGAACAAAAATCCCCTTGTGACCACGTAGGTTCAAATGTGGTGACTCCGGGCTACCTGCAAAGCAGGTGGTCCCCCTGGGAATAGTCGGCTCACATAGCGGGTTGGATATCCAGGTTAATAAAAAATACACTTTCTTTATGAAACATGTTCTCTTTAAGCATGAATGTAACAACTGGACGAACCTTTTTCTCCAGTCAGGTAGAAAAGAACTAGCTGATGATATCGAAGTGCTGAAGAAGAAGATTATTGGAACCGAATAGACAACGGTAATTGGTAACATGTATTTACTTTATATTATCGATCCAAAGTTGTTTATAGGTTTCCTTCTGCTATGACACTTGATAGGGTTCACATCCTGTGTTTGTTGTATCACATGTTTTTTCTATATTTGATCCTTCTGTAAATTGGCTATATTTTAATGAAAATAAATTAACTTCTCGCTGTTTATACATCTATAATCGAACTTATCATCTCTTTAGTCCCCTTCCAAACAGCGGAAGCGATAAGTAGTTAATAGGACTGAGACTTCTTTTTTGTGATGGCATAACCATCCACCCTGTCCCGAGCCTCGTTTTCTAAGCAGGCTCATAGTCCCAGCCTGTAGTGCCTGGTACTCGAACATTGGCTTGTGCATATAACCAAACACAATAGGAACAATTGAACATGTAGATTTATGTGGCTCGCCCAATAGGAACATTTAGATACCCATCTAGGCACCAGGATCCACCCTGAGCTATTGGACCATGGGTGGTGTGTAGGACTTGACCATGGTTAGCTAGATGGGAGTTGGAGCCTGCCATCAGTCTGGGGATAGTTTGAACCAGTTTCTGTTGGGGCATGTCTGCTGATTCTGAAGCTGCAGGTGGAAGATACATTCCGTGGAAACATGTTAATAGTTTTAGTTTACTGACTACATGTCACATCTTATAATTCAGTTTAGGGTTGCAACTTTCAAATAATCGAGTGTATAGTCCCAATTCAAGCAAAGTCAAACTGAGCAGAAAAAGTCAACAATCCCAAGAACTAACAATTAAACATGAAATCGTTTGTATTGCAGAATGATAAACCGGAATTCTCAATGCGAACTACATATCGAACAAGAAAGTAGTAAACTTGATGCAAGTAAAAGTGAAGGGAGAGATCATAACACCAGATATACGTGGAAACCCAAATTGGGTGAAAACCACGGGCCGAAAAGTCTACTATCAACAATGATGATTACAATGCTCGGAAATGGAGAAACTAGGAAGAAATTAAGCACAGATTCACTTCTAGTTCGTATCTAGGTCTATGGGACCCAAGGTCGCGTGGCCAGATAGCCTAGGTCGCCATTGCCCAGCCTCGGTCGCAGTGGCGGACGCAGAAAAATATGTTGTAGGGGGCACCTTATGAAAGGCAACAACAATAGATCGATCTTGGCTCAAGTCTTTCCGTTTTATTCCAACTATTAAAACCATCTGTCACGAAAACATTACTCCCACATTGTCCTACGTAATTATCTCTAAACAAATAACAACACAAACAAAGGCTCTATCCGTTTTTACACTATATTCCTACCAATTAGCATAACAGTTTACTCCTTTTCAGGTGTTGATGCTTTCCTTTTAAAAAATCTTTCCATTTGATTTGCCTAATTGCCTACAAAATTAGCCAACAAAATTAACCTAAAGCATTTACCAATTACCACAAATTAACCTAAAATACCTAACCTAAAGCATTTACCAATTACCACAAAATTAACCAACAAAATTAACCTAAAGCATTTACCAATTACCACAAAATTAATCAACAAAATTAACCTAAAACATTTACCAATTAGCACAAAATTAACTAACAAAATTAACCTAAAATACCTAACCTAAAGCATTTACCAATTACCACAAAATTAACCAACAAAACAAAATTAACCTAAAATACCTAACCTAAAGCATTTACCATTTACCAATCACCACAAAATTAACCTAAAAACTAAAATACTTAAATACTACTAAAGGCTAAAGTACTAATTGAAGCTGCCAGTTCACAGTTGGAAATTAGAATCAAGACAAGTAGAACTTAGGTCTTAGAAGTAGGCAGTAGCCAAGTAGGAACAGTCGAACAGAACAAACTTACAGAAAAGAGGCGAGACTCAGTGACTCACTCGAGAGCACACAGCCACACACACTCACAGGCTCGCAGGCTCTCGCCCTCTCGGCGCTCGCAGTCGGCACTCGGCAGTCGCAGCCTCGCCTCTCCTCGCAGGTCGCAGCCTCTCGGTCTCGGCTCTCGCCGTCCCGTCCGGCCACTGGATGAAGAAAAGAAGAAGAAGAAGAGAAGAACAAGAACTGAAGGAGCTCGTATGTGGTAATCGATTTCGATTCGGTAATCGGTATGCGTATGTCTTCACTCTTCACACTCACACGAATCACACTTCACAGGCTCACAGCTTCATTCGTTTCTGATTCAAAGGGGCCTCCTACCTCATGTTGTTGGGGGCCCAATTACATCTAACAAAAAAATACAAGTAAAAAAAAAAATTTGGGCCTTCCTATCTAATTTTTGTTGGGGGCCCAGGACCCCAACCACCTTCTCCTGCATCCGCCCCTGCTCGGTCGTTTCACTCCTCATGCGACACCACCACAAAAAATGTACCGGAAGTCTGAAATCTAGAACCTTGCTAAGCGACCTAGGTCGCATACCACTCTGGACGGAACGGGATGGTCAAAAATGAGATAGGCAGGTGAAAGAATTATGCAAAGTTAAGGTTTTAATTTAATAAGGATAATTTAGTAATTTACTAACAAACGCATCTGAATTACAAGAGACAAAGAGAATCGATTTTGAAAGATCAAAAGAATGGTATTAAAGTACTTTACTTTTTTTTATTAAAACGAAGGATATGAAGGTGAAAGTTGTGGGTTGTGTTGATGTTTATTTAATGGCGTCCCTTGAAGTATGGCGCAAGAATGGGCATTTGCATGTGTTATGTGTAATCCAAATTACACCGTAAATGTAGCTAACTTTGCTTTTTATACCTCAAATCAACTTTTGTCTATACTGTATTATAAAACATTTAACAAAAAGCTCTTAAAATCATTTTTATGTATCAAATATTATTTATTGATTCATATTACTTAAAATTCAAGATTACAGATAAATTACCCGTATATACAACTTATTAATACTCTATTTTAAATTCGTGTAACTAACTGTAAATAAACATAATCAAATACCACTTTTCCATGGGGATCGGCTAGTCCCAACTTCCATAGGTCCATTCTCATCATTGGGTAAAGCAACACCAACTTTATCAGACAATTCATTTCCAGAGTCAAAAAAATTTAATTGATCAAGGTCTTTATTCTCATATTCACTCAACTTATCACACTTCATTTTAAATGGAAAAACGTTTTCATAAAATTTCACATCGCGTGAAACAATTATTTTCTTGGAATCCAAACTA